CCAGGTGGTAGTGAGCTTGATCTCAAACCCAAGTGCTTTTATACTATGCCACACTCACTAATTGTGACTCTCAGCGAAGTGTCAATAAAAACAGTCAGTTTTTAGCAAATGATCTTGTTATTTCAGCTTCTTAAAACAATTTGCTTCATTTCTAAGGCAAGGTATTTTTTGCCGAAGAGAGTGAAAATAAAAGTGTCAAGTGTGGAGAGAAACTAGCCTTCTCACACATTGTTGCTGGGAATTATAAACAGGGATAACCTTTGGGGAGCAAAATCTGGCACTGTTAAAACAACTGTAAAATGTGCATACATTCTTCAATGCAGTAATTCCACTGAAATGGTTGTATACATGCAAAAAAGACCTACAAGGATGTTAATCTCAGTACTATTTATGATATCAAAAAATTAGAAGCAACCTAAATGAAAGTGATTAAAAATATTAAGGTAAATTCATACTATGAAGTACTATGCAACTATTTTATGAAGAGAGAATGACCTATAAAAAGGGCTGTCCATGATTTGTTGATTTTATTTATAACTTAAAATGTCATATACGTATGTGTGTGTGAGACTGGGTGTATATGTACAAGGCTCCTGTAAAAATTAAATATTACTAATAAAGCACTTCAAATAGCTCCTGCCAAAGAGTGAACATTAGGAAAAATTTATCAAAATGTTATAGTATATAAATCAACTATACTTTGATTTAAAAAAAGGAACTATTAAAATAACTTTAAAAAAACAAACAAAAAATGTGATAGTATATGCATGAAAATAATTTAGAAGAATATACACTAAGTGGCTAACGCTGGCTTTGTCTGAGAGGTGGGATTATATAGGGTTCATTTTCTTTTAATAAATTTGTGTTGTTCGAATACTTTAATATAATTATTTTTGTATTGAAAATATAGTAAAGATACGCTTTCTACAAAATGTAGAAAACCTTATTATTCAGAAAAGAACATCCTCCGTATGCACAGAATTCAGTCTAGCAATGCTAGTAAACATTCCACATTTGTATGACGGACTAAATACTTTAGACCTGTATTAGATTGCTGGCAGTGTTAACCTGTTCAGAGGATGTAAGTGAGGGAATGGAAGGAAGAGAAAACAGATCATGTCACAAATGTTGAAAAAGAACAGCTATTTCCTCTCCCCTGAAAATCTGTGATTCTGGCCTGGAGCCCTAGAGCCACTCGGAGCCAACAGAGGAAGTGAAGGGCCGCCGCGCGTCCTGGCCATTCCTTAACAGATGTTTCGCAGCCGATCCTGCTGACACATCCTGCAGGCCAGGCAGGGCCCTGTATGGTTGTTGCCTGCAGGAGTGCGAATCCAAACGCAGACCTAAACCATGGCAGTGATAATGATACAACAAATAACTACCAGGTTCTCCTAAAGGCTAAGGCTCTGCAGACTTTCCTCCAAACCTACAGAATCTGAAATCTGAACTTTTAGGAAAACTAACAGGTTGTGTTGCTGTACAGAACATTTCTTTCTGGGTTTTGTGTATCAACTATGTACTTGGTCACTTTATGGAACAATGTAATGAATTGTGAGTCCTGAGGTTTTTTTCTAGTTACTACCTGTTAGTTTTCTTCTGCTTTACATCTCAGTTGATTGCCCAGTATAATCAGAACTAAATTCAGTGATGATGACAAAAGGGGACTTGTTTCTTTGGGTGTGATTTTAAGAGGAATGCTTTAGTGTTTCCCCACAAAGTACGAAGTGCTCTGGGGTTTTTGAAAAGTTGCCTGTTACAATCTCCTTTTATTCCTCTTTATCCTTTTTAAAAACTGGGACTAGGTGTTGAAATATTTTTGTCATTTATTGACAGAATGATGAATTTCTCATTGAACTTAGTGATGTGATTAGATCAATTCCTAGGACCGGGATTCTCGGGTCAATGGATCACATAGAAAAGCCTATGAATTGGTTCACCTGAGAATGAAACGCCAGAGCACAGTGCAGTCCGGGTCTGACTGACTCACAAGAAAGCTTCAGGGGAGGACAGGTAATGAGATTCTATCACGGACTTGACCTCATGGGAAAGCAGTCCACACCTCAACTATAGCACCAACCACACTGAACTGCAGTTCAGCTGCTCAAAGAGTTTCTCTCTCCAAGATTTCTCCAGGTAAAGGATGATATCTTATGCACCCAAGTACCTGTTGTGTCTTTTACATGGCCAGGTGGCTGAGTTATTTCTGTTCCGTCCCCACAAACTATATTTTGCATGCAAGCCGCCTACCTCAGTCTGCAACCAAGGTCAGACTCAAGGGAGAACACAGGGAACATGAAGAAAGGAGGAGGAAATAACGAGTCTCTGAAGGCAAAATCACATGACCCCGTTACTTCAGGATGGTGGAAAAGTATTAGTAAAAAATACTGAGGCCTGGGAATTCCCTGGCGGTCCCGTGGTTAGGACCCAGCGCCTTTCACTGCCAGGGCCCAGGTTCGATCCCTGGTCGGGCAGCTAAGATCCCACAAGCCACATGGCTCTGCCTAAATAAATAAATAAATAAAATCTAGGTCTGCCCCAACCTTGCTTTACCTCAGCTCCCCAGGATAGGAGAGGGATAATAAACACACCTCCCACGCACCTGAACCTCCATCAGTAATTTTTATCACTGTAAATCCTTGCAGGATTTTGAGCGCATCATAGCTCACACAACATTCTCACGCACGTCCCCTCACTTGACACTCCTCACAGACATCCCAGGGGACAGGACAGAACCAGAGTTCAAAGCTGGGAGTCAGACCTGGATATGAATTCTAGCACTCAATTAACAGGGAGGGCAAGTTACTAAATCTCATTTAGCCTCATCTTCTTTACCTGTAAAACTGGGGTAATATTTACCTCATGGAATGCTTCTGAAGATCAAGTATAACATAGTGAAAATCAAAGTCCCTAGCACATGTTACGTGCTCAACAAGTAAGTACGATTTCCTTTCCTTCTGACACCGGAGTTTTCCCCTGGGACAATGCCTCTATTGGCATTCACAGCCACCGTCCTTCAGGAGGCCTCCCGGCTGTCTGCTTAAGGCACAAGTGGCAACCCCTGCCCAGGACAGAGGCAGATTGGTGGCTGCCCCAGTGCCAGTGGGGAGCCCCTGGCTGGGCTGCCTGAGTGGCCCTATGTCTGTGTGGGCTCTGGGACACAGGTGCAGCCACCAACCCTGCACCCTCCCACATATGTTCCCTCCACAGGGAACCTTTCATTTTCTCAATTTTTTGGACATTGGCCTCATACCCGTCCTTCAGACTGTTTTACGTCTATTCTCCCCAAAGGACTATGGGACAAGGGCAGGCTTCCCAAACACCTTCTCCTCTCTCCCTTCTCCCTCAACCTGCACACCTCTAACCAGCTCTCAGTGGCAGGGTTTCAAGCATTTCTTTTCTACTTCCAGGAAAAGCACAGTATTAATTGTGGTTCTGGAACCAAAGTGCCTCGGTTCAGTTCCAACTCCATTTCTCACCGTTTCTGGTGTGACCTCGGCAACTACTTAACCTCTCTTAACCTTAGTTTCATCCTTTGTAAATGGGGATAACAACACACTTTGGGGGAATTCAATGAGGCACACAGTAGGTACTCAACAAAATTTAGCTCTTTTCTATATTATGTATATATACATAAACGTATCTGGAAGGATATGCATAGAATGGTTTATAGTGGTATGCTTCAGGGAGCATACAGAGGAGAAATTTATTTGACAGAAACTTACACCATTTTACAAGCATTCATTATTTTTGTAATTTAAACACACTTTTAACAAGAATACACGGGTATGGTAAAGAAAAGGAAAGGAGGAGAGGGGAAGGGAGGTGGGAAAAAAAAGAAGAAAAATGGTCTGCTCAAGGCGGAAGCCAAAGGCTGGGTCAGAGTCATGATTGGTTTAGACATTCTGGTTATAGCTTTAGTGCTAGGTGCAGAGTTCCCCATGCCTTGTCAGAGAAAACTTCTGCCGTATATATGTCAGCCTTACACAGATTTCCTTCATATTTCCTCCAGTGTTCCAGGTGGGAGTGGGTGTGGGGGAAAGCCCAGTTCCATTGGATTAAGTTATCCTGGGATGGAGGGGTGCGGGCAGGGAGGTTCTGATCTCCCTCACGGTGGGAGAGCTGCCCAGTCCCCTGGAGCACTGTGCGGGGGGCGGGCGGGGGTGTCTCCTGGGTCCCAGGGGAGGAGGGGGCACATCCAGGACAAGCCCTAGGAAGCTTAAACACTACCAGGCAGGAAATGCTTGCAAGGGACCTGGGCATGCCCCCCTAAGAAGTCTAGACCACTTTGCGTGGGAGGAAAAAGGGAGGGCTCTGTCTCTTATTGAAGAATCTTCTGAGCGGTTTCAATTTCCCTATTTCTCCATTGTGTCATGAGATACAGACTGCAGCAAGCAAAGGTTTGTTTTACTACCTTCTGTGCAAGAGTCCCCACAGGGCTACTTACATTTCCTCCCCAACCTAAAAGCTCAGTACTATGCATAGTAAAAAAACATACCCTTTTTTGGTAAGAGCTACATTATCAGAATACCAAGAGGAATGCTGCCTACTCTTTATGTGTAGCCAAGATATTCATTTAGCCAACCCACATTTCGGACTTTTTCAAAGGGTGAAAACCCTCCTTGTTCCTAACTTCCCTCACATCACTTCTGATGGGTAAAAACCTTATCGGCTCACAAAATGCATGCCCCAAGCAGCTTGCATTTCTAGAAAACCACCTCCTGTATAGAGAATATTCTATGAATGTTTTCAAATTGCAAATGCTACATTGCTTCTATGTGTCTTCTGGGCTCCACCCAGACAAACACAGCTATTCCTGCTGGCAACTATGAATATGTAATATTTTCCCCACCTTATTAATACCTCTTCCAACAAAGTTCCCGCCAGCCAAGCATGTCCTTGTGACCCGTTCCCATCACCGTTTGCCACCCCACACTCACCCAATAGAACTGGATCTGCTATAAAGGAAGATGCCAGAAAGGACCCCCAAGAAGGTGGCTTACCTTTCTCATGGCTGCTTGCTGGTGGGGGTGGGAGTGGGGAGGTGACCGGTTTGGACTTGTCATAGTTGTTAAAGCTCTGGCTCCGTCGGTTGTTAGCAGTGGCTGACCCTCCGCGTGTTTTGGCCTCGCTGCCTGCAGCGGATACCCTCGCGGTAGGACCTGGAAGTCTAAAAGGCAAAAGCAACAGGCTTCAGTCTCAGGAAAACAGCAGTACCTCAGAAGGTACTGCAGCCATGCAGGAGGCAAAAGAAACCATTCAAGGCATCAGGTCGGTGGCGGTTTGCCAGTCCAAGGACTTACTGGAACCATCACAAACATCTAGACTAGTAATGACCCCAGTGAAGTCCAAAAGCCAGGTGTGAGTAGTTTTCCTTTGAACACAGAGAGAAATATATGAATACGTCTGCTGATTAGAAATACAAAGCTCGGGAGTTCCCTGGTGTAATAGTGGTTAGGATCCTGGGCTTTCACTGCTGTGGCCCAGGTTCAATCCCTGGTCAGAGAACTGAGATCCCACAAGCCACACAGCGTGGCCAAAAAAAATACAAAGCTCGTCTTACTTTTTCTCTTGGATGAGTAATTTTGCTTTTCAATAGGGCCAAACCATGTCATCTCTAATTCTATCTAGGGTAGAACATAAAGGTCTGTTAAGACTCTAAACTGTTAAACTTGCGTGTGCATCTCTTTTGACAGACACTGAAAATGGTTTTTGCCATAACTAGGGATGTAAGTATCAAGAAAAAGATATAATTTATGATGGTCAGAAAGGAAACTGCTACCTCAGAACCCAACTCATCTGCAATGAAAAATTATGGACTGGATGGAAACATTTGTTCAGACATACATTTTCCTTCAACATCTGACAACCTGTCTCCATAGACATTACTCTGAGTCTGAAGCTCAGCTTCTCTGCACAGTCGATGGATAAAATCATACATTCTTTCTGTAAAATGAGCAGGAATCTGTTAGCCTAAAGACAAACACACACTTTCCCTTTAAATAAAACACTTCATTTTTGGGTGGTTTGGGAAGTAAAGTCAGCAGACTAGTCTTTGGTAATGTGTCTGAAGATATTATGGCCCATTCCCCGAAGAGTTAAGGCTATGACTCCGCAAATCAGAATTTTGGTTCAGGGATTACTAAGCAGACTCTTTGCAATCATTAAAGTTGAAAGATGAATAAATGATGAAATATTTAGTTATATCTTTCAGCTAAAACCCACTTAGCAGTGTTGAAAAGCCACTGGAACCTCAGCTGACCAGCATTAGATCTAGCGATAAGTCTGAATTTTCAACTCATAAAGCTTTCAGCCTTCTCTTTCCACACAAATCTCTAAGCACCGAAGAAGTCTGCAGTCTGGAAGCATTTTCGATAGAAACAGGCAAACGCTTCAAACTTTTTCTTGTTGCCTGAGCAAGAAAAAATGGCTGCAGAGTGCACAGAGAACATGAGCTGGTGTGAGAGGACTGTAAGATTTATACAGTTAAGAAGAAGCTGGCCCAGTTCCTTAACTGGGAGCTAGGAGAGAAGGAAGCGGGTGAGTTCTTCCCCCCAAAAGTGGCAGAGGGAAGGCCTCACTTCCCACTGCATTAGGAGGATTTGCCCCTCTGTTAATTTACCCCATCTTGTTTAGTGAAGATATTCACCCCACGAAGACAGGCACAGAGTGGGGTGCAAAACCAGCAGTGCCAGTGCCTGTGTTTGCGGACCAGAGGCGGCCAGATCAACTGATCAAGGAGGTCCAGCAATCTTGGCACCTCTCGGTTCTGCTTCCAATGCAAACAGCACCCTGCACGCCCTCCAAGACGGACAGTGTTACCCGAGGACTCCCAGCCAATGGCAGAGCTGCTGCAGGTGCAGGCGTGGGGCTCCTCAGGGCTGGACTCTGCAGGAGTCTGTACACCCACAGATAGGCCTGAAAAAGGATTATGGACATGTTCCAAGATGATGTCACAGCAACAGTTTTAAGTGGTGCAGGGTAACACAGGTGACAGTATTCTACTCCCGTGGCAAAGAACAGGGAAGCAAAAAGCAACGAGGAGGGAAAAGATGCTCGAGAGGCCCCACTGCCCTCACCTGGGGCTGGACCACAGATTTTTCAGAGCAGCACAGGGCCTTTATCGAGGCAAGAAATCAAAGTATTGGATGGGATGGCCACAACCTTGAATGAGGTAGGCAATTTGGTCCTCTGTGAGGCAGTGTGGTACAATGGGTAAAATAGCTTTTTCCATACAAATGTGGACATGACATTGGGCCAGTCTTATGATCTGAGATTCACGTTCCATATATGTCACTTTGGAATAACAGTAAAGTACCCAATCGGATAGCTGTGAACTTGGAATGGGACTTAAGGTCCAGCCTGATGTAAGTACTCAATGCATGCTGGTTCCCCTTAACATCCTCTCTGCTGAGCACAGATTCATAAAGGAATTGGACATTGTCATAAAGAAAACATGCTATGGTAGAAAAAAGAACCAGACAAATAAGGAAGGAATCAGGCAGATCTAGGTTAAAGCAGCAATAGAGAGCTGGACAAAAATCAACACACAAGAGTTGGAGATCAACGTTTCCAAAGAGGCAAGACAGGTTTCGGCAGACAGGATTCATCATCTCCCTAAGGAACATTCGAGGAGAGAAACTGCTTCATCCAAGAATCCGTGATGAAGAAACTGCTTCATCCAAGCATCTGTGACGAAGACCTTACACTTGGGGTACCTCTGAGCCATCTGTGGGGCCCAGACTGAAACATTCCCCAGTCTTGGATTAACTGAGACGGCTCCGGTTTCCTAGGGGTGGTCACCATCAGATCCTCTTCCTTGAGTCAGAACCTAGAGGTGCTACTCTGATGGGAGTGACCCATCCTTCAAATGGCTACAGGTTGTACCAAGTTTTCTGAGACACGGAAGAGGTCTCGAAGGCCTTGAGGGCGGCTGACGTGACAATAAGGGATGGTTGGCACATGCCGAGCCATCAAAAGCCACCATAAAGCTCAAGCCAGCTCATGTCACCCTCTACCTCATCACCATTACACCCTAGTGAGGACAGCTCCCTTAACTTGCCCAAATGGGAAAACTGGATGGAGACCAAGTAACTTCTTCCAAGTGTCAGAAGGAAGCCATGTGAACACTGTGCTTCAAAACTCGGGTTCTGTTGTGGATGGGGTGGGACAGTTGCTTGCTCCAATGCAAGCCTCCCACATCCCTCTGAAATTTTCAGCAGTCTGCCTCACAAACAAAGGCCATGAATGAATGTGTGATGGATGGGAAGTAAGGTAAAAAAGCTTCGTTTGGATCCACCCAGGAGGGAACCAAAACATCCCTTGGGATGATGAGTCAATCCACAAACTGAATTAATTCAGACTGAATTGTGAATACAGGACTTCAGAGCCAAAGGTGACCACGAGATCCTAAGATACCTGAGCAATCCAGGTGAGGGCACTGGACTTCACAAACTGAAGCAGGGATGTGCTATGTCTGTGTTTCTGAGTCCTTCCTTACCCCAATTCATATGTTGAGATTGTAATGCCCAATGTGATGGTATTAGGAGGTGGGGCCTTTGGGAAGTGATTAGGTCATTAGATAGAGCCCTCATGAGTGTTGCTTGTAAGTCACCCAGCCTGTGGTGTTTTATCATGGTGGCCCAAAAAGATTATCACAGGGTTCTAGTTCAATCTTATCTAGATCTTAAGGGGTGGATTGACCCTAGCTGACATCTCAATTACATACACATTGATAAAAGAATATGAAAGGTCAGAAGTAATTCAAAGAAGAGAAATAATGACCTCGGAAGTTGGAATGGTCAGGGAAGGTTCCAAATAAAAGCAACCCCAGAGCAAGATGTGGCATGTGGAATGAGAATGTGAGTAGAGGGCAAGAAGGGAGGGGGCAGAGGTGTCATGCAGAGGGAAGCTTGTAAAAAAAAAAAAAAGCACTGAAGAAAGAAAGGGCCAGTGTGTGCTGGGGCTTGGGGGACAGCGTGGGAGGAAATGAGGCTGGAAAACCAGGCGGGGGCAGCCCTCAGTGTCACACTATGAACCTTGGACTTGGTCCTGTCCTCCAGCAAGGAGGCATTCATTAGGGAAGCTGAGAACAGAGCTAGAGTTGAAAAGCAGAGTAGCTTCCAGTTCACAGTCACACAGGCCCCTGGCTAACATTCTGAAGTTCATTATTATTAACATCCTTGTGCATCAGGAGAACTTCTCTCAAGCCCCAGCCTGCAAGTAGCTGCTGTCTATTAGCATCATTCTTCTGCAGAGCTGGGTCTTGCTCATGTGGAACAGCTGCAGATACCACAACAGCTGCTGCCCAGCGATGCCTGCCTCATCAAGAAAAAGCAGAGAGAGGAGAGTGCAGCAAGTCAACCTCAAATCATCCACACCCTACATCATCCACAGTGCCAGAAGGTTTCAATGGCTCCTCTGCAAGAGGGACTCTACTTCCCATGATCATCCCACGTCCAAACAACAGTTACAAAATGAGAGGACACAGATGTGTTCTCTGAAACACACACGCGTTGCTTTTTTAAAAAATGAAGTTTAAGGGAAGAGGTGTAACAAAGAGGCAGGAGGAAAATCCTGCTGCTATGGGGGCTATGGTCAATTTCTCCAACATGTGCACAGCCGAGCAGGCAGGATGGTAAGACTGTTGTTCCTGGCACATAACCTGTGCGTGCATCCCGGCTCCACGCGTTGTACGTGCTGACGGGAAGAAAGCCGTTCTTCTCCCCCAAACCACTTCAAAGGCTGGGAGCAGAAGATGGCCCTCCCAGGAAAGATGGCAGCTTGTGTGCACATGCTCAGGACCTTGGGGGTGGGGGGGGTGGTGGAGGTCATAATTGGAGATGTTTTTGCTAGACAAGATGATTAAATGCTAAACCTCTCATCTCCACGGCATCTGCTTTTCAGCAGCTGGGCAGAGACGGCTGAACTACTAGCCACACTGATTCTTCTCCACAAGATGGTCTTACAGAGATCGACTCTGTGAGACTCGCTAGAGCTGGCCCAGATCAACCCAAACCACCAACATCGCCCTATCAGCTAGTTATGGTGCACGGATTACATGCCAGGCTGCAAAGGGCTGGAAATGACTTTATTTAGTCCACATAGCACTGTGACTATGTGGGGCAGGACTACCCCATTTTACCAATAAGGAAACACAGGCTCACGGAG